ATATCGCTAGCAATGAGATATTAATTTTTCTGGGCTCAAATAAGCTCTCTGCTATCGTTTTTACCATATAGATCTTTTTGATAAAAATTTAGAGAAAAACAATCGTCTGGATGAAAGATGAAAGCAGTTTCGAGAATAATCAGTCAAGCATGCCCCTTCAATTTAAGATTAGGAGGAGCAGAGCAGCAATACGATGGCAAATGGAGAAAAGAGCTTGATGAAGTGCAGTTTTATGTCATTCGGGATGGAGCAGTCAAGCAAATTGATGCTGTCTGTGCTCTGTCAGCAACGGAAGGATGAATAGGAACCTTTTTGTATGGGGAACGAATTGGGAAAAGAGAAACGACTGAATGAAATTTCTCGAGCCTCCTTCTCAAAATTTCTGGAATAGAACACTCGAGAAAAGAAGGCTATACGGTATTCACAGATATAATAGAATTCAATGAATATTAAATTTACTTGAAATGGGGCACGTGTTAAAAATCGCTCGAAAACTCGGACCTAATGCACACGTAGCACACTTATTTTTGGTTACCTTGTATTTTTATATTCGGAAAAAAATTCTTTCATCTAGATGAAAAGGGACCGGGGCAGAAGGAACTCGTTCATGGTGTACCAGCCTTCTGTTGCTCGGATTCTGCGCGAATCAACGAGACCGCCAGTCTTCTCAAAATTACTGCCCCACCCTCTTGAAAGGCCAAGGACGCCAGCTGTCGCTTTGGCCAAGGTGGAAAGCCGCAATGGAGGGCAGATGTGCATACAAATGTTTCTATAGTTTCAAATGTATGGTCAGATGCATGGCGAATCCTTCGAACAGCTAGCCACCCTCGCTTTTTCAACCTTTTACGATGTTTACAACATGCTGGGATTAGTTTTCCATATAAAGGCTTCATCTTTCTGCACCACTACGAACAGCTGATGGTCAGCTGTTGCTCAGCTGCTATTTATAGTGAAAAGCATAGCGGAAAAATCGAGAGGGAGCAATCACTTGAAACCAAGAGAGGGAAAATAAAATAGTGGAGAGCTGAAAAGTATTCAGAAGATGGCAACTTCCCAAAGAGTGCAAAGGAGATTGAACTTGAGGTCGCAGCCGTGGGAGAAAACCGATTCAAAGGAAGGATTCGGATGGGCGGAACCTTTTGGTGAAGCAATGGCTAGCGCTAGCTGTGAGATTCGAAATCGGACATAAGCTACGAGAAAGAAACTCCCTATGGTCGTGATGCTCGTTCTCCAGTATCGATTTTGGCAGCTAGACATGACGTCGGGCTCGGTGGACGGAGAGACGGCCATGGACATTTGTGGACATGACGGCCTTGCTTGTTAAGCCGTTTGAGCCATTGAGTATTTGGCCTCGATAATTTTGGCCCCAATCTCCCTTAGGGCATATTTATGTATTCATTTTATTTTTACCTTATCATGGGACTTTTACCACAAAGAGCTCAAAATGGGAAATTAAAGTGAACGTAAATGAGAAAAATCCGATGCCAGGAGAATGAGAGGGTGATTATGAATATAAAAATGTAGAAAGACGGGACGCAACTAGCACTTCTTAGTATGCGCCACATACTCGACTTGTGGTCGAATTTGAGTGATCTCTGGATCAGCAATTGGCTTAATTAGACGTGAGGAGATGAGCGGATGTGTTAGTCAGTGCTTATTCACTAAGACGATTTCCAGGATAGGATCCTTAGACCATATTTGTGATAGTGACGAGACTCACCTTTGTAGTTATCATAGGGTATAATATCAAAAGGCAGAATTTAAAGGCACGGTTTACGATAAAAAAGGTTACTGAGTTCTTCCTTTAAGAATACACAGCGCCCCCATTGGTGGTAGAAGGGGCCCTCTCGCTCCCACAAACTCG